GGAAGCAAGCCTGGATTTTGAGATAATGTTTTTGTCTGACAACACGAAGAAAGTGGCAAAAGTTACAAAACCATCTTAAATTTCAAAGGTCCCAGCAGCTCTCTGCTGCCAGTGTGACTGCAAAATATCACCTGAAAGTGAATTCGCCAGCCCGTTACTGCTTGACACTCGAGCCCTGATTTTAACTGGGAGGGAATGAAGTTACAGGATGAATCTGACTCTATATTTAGGAAGAACAACTGTAAGCTATGAAAGGAATTCTCTTTTACACTTGGCGTCTAAACCCAGCTCTACTCCAGTGCTGGAAGGACACTCGGTCGGTAGTACACACAGGCATAAAGGACTTCGTCTGTTCTGGCCACAGGGAAGAATTGCTCAGCTGACCGAAGAAGGCGTCTCACTCACATCAAACCTTGTCACCCTCCTGACGCTGGGAACTTTTATTATAAAAACAAACAGGTACATAGCAGAAAATAAGATTTGTGTTGGCAGGACTGTATTTAAATGGTTAACTTGGGAATCAACCAGAAGGTCAATGAATGAACTCCATTTCCCTGAGTTTTCACCTCTCCATGTCAGATCAATAATGCTTAATGTAAGATGTTGTAACCAGTGCTTTATAGTCATCAAGAATTTTAAAGGAATGATTTGAACATGAGAACATGGTTCTGAGACATAGCATTATCTTATGTGGTTTCTGCATTGTGTCAGTGGTTTAAAAAAGAATGAAAAGTATGATATGTTTTTCCTTGGGGTTTTCTCGAAATGGTTTATTCTAGGGCAAAGCTATCACAGCCAAATCAGGAATATTTCTTAATTGCTACAATGTGAGTAGTTAACTTTGCAGTTGCAAAGAACTTCAAATGCATTGCAAGCAGTAAAGTCTCGACATGGAGTTTTCTCCTCCGGCTTACAGCACTGGCTAGGCTCCTAATGGTGTCATTTCTATCTAGGTCTTTAATAGGGAAGACAGTAAATCTTTCTGTTTGTAGCATTCATGCCAGCTTTTTACATGCAGCAAGGAGAAAAGGATTGAGTTACTAGTTCCTTTCTGACTGCTGTTAGGATAGCATTATGAAAGATAGAAATTGTGGAAATGCTTCATCACTAACAACTTACTTAAAACAAATTGAAAAAGAAGTAATGGTACTAAACAGCTGCTTCATCATCCCTCTCACGACTTATTTTTAGAAAAAGCAAAGAAGATATTTCTTCATTTTTGCCTTCCTTGTTTTGATATCTTGCTACTTCTCAGCCCAACTCAGGAATTGAAGGGTTATTTACATACAAAGTAAAACGCCTGCTAAAATAGCTCCAAACCGAAAGAGTAGTGGCATTGCCTTCCATGGTAGACACAGGTCATAAAAGGTAAGGTATGAGAGAAGTATCTGTATGCCTGAAGGCTGTGTCAGCCTTTGCAGCTTATTTCCTAGAAAGTGTATTTTAACATTTTGTGTTGTTTATATCAATTCATTGGATGCTTAATAAAGTTTTGAAGGCTGCAGTTGACTGAGTTTTATTTTTCTTCCCCCACATCTGTTTTTTCTCCATGACTAGTAGTATAGTATTACAGAAGGGCTAGAAAATTTGCTGCAGATTGTTCAATTGCTTTTAGGATTTATGGTTTAAAGAGGAAGGTCTAACTTATTTCTGCTCTATCCCTCTTGGGTCCTGAACTGGGACAAAAATGGCAATAAGTAAACAAGTAAACAAACAAATATTTCAGAGAGTTACATAAAGAAAGTAATCTTGTTTATACCAGACCCTTCCCTCTGTGACCCCATCTGCGCTGCCAAATAATCCAATTTCTGAATCCAGGTTATCTGCTTTAAATTGGATTATATGGCAGTGTAGACTCATATAATCCAGTTTAAAGAAGATGGTCTGGATTCACAAATGGGATTATATCCAGTGTAGATACAGCCTGAACCACCCATTTCTGACAAAGTGCTCTCCAGGTGTGTTGTATTATAGCTGCCATCACCACTAGCCAGAAGGATAGTGGATTGAGGAACATGGCGATGGGGCAATTAAATACTGCAAAAGACTAAGGAAGATATGAAGTTATTCAATGTCCATCTCTTTCACTGACTTAGGATGCATCTACAACATCAGTTATTTCATAGCCAGTCTAGGACAGAAATGCTTCAGAGCAGAAATGCTCAAGATTGGCCTTGGAAGTGTCGACTACACACCCACAGTGGTGGTGGGGTGAAGTCTACATGATCAATTCAGGCTGAAACCTTACTTTTTGTGTTACCATTGTCACTGCCCAATGGTCATCATGGATTCTCCATGCGGACATCAGTAGAGGTTCCCACATGACCAGGAAAAAGGAGGGGTTTAACCTAGCTTCCCTTGCATTAAGAACCAGAAATCCCTGGATACCGTGTAGACATCCAGGAGGGACTTCTCACTCAACATGGGCTAGACAGCGCATGTAGACAAACCCATAGTGGATTTGTCTACAGGCAAGATCTGGCACAACACAAACTCAGCTTCTTCCCCCAAACTCATTGTTTCTTGTGGGTGTGAGAGGGCAACACTGACCCATTCTGGTATATTTATTTATTTATTTATTTATTTATTTACCTTACTTATATACAGCTGTTCTCAGCCCGAAGGCGACTCACAGCGGTTCACAACAAATACGAACAGCAAAAATTCAGTGCTACAGTATAGAAACAGTTAACAACCTAACACATTACACAATTAATAAACAGTTACTACAATACCCATTCACTGTCGTCTCGTCATCAAAAACATGTTCCAGATTCGTCATCCATTGTTCCATTCCAGTGTTCATTAACCAATCATTGCACTAATTATTCGAACGCCTGCTCAAACAGCCAGGTCTTCACTTTTTTGCGGAATACCATTAGAGATGGTGCTAGTCTAATGTCGTAGGAAGGGCGTTCCACAGCCGAGGAGCCACCACTGAGAAGGCCCTATCTCTCGTCCCCGCCAGCCGTGCTTGAGAAGCAGGCGGGATCGAGAGCAGGGTCTCCCTGGAAGATCTCAAAGTCCTGGTGGGTTCATAGGCAGAGATGCGGTCAGATAGGTAGCTTGGGCCGGAACCGTTTAGGGCTTTAAAGGCCAACGCCAGCACTTTGAATTCAGCCCGGTAGCAGATCGGTAGCCAGTGGAGTTGGCGCAACAGGGGGGTTGTATGCTCCCTGCGCTCCGCTCCTGTTAAAATCATGGCTGCCGAGCGTTGGACTAGTTGGAGCTTCCGAGCTGTCTTCAAAGGCAACCCCACGTAGAGAGCGTTGCAGTAATCTAAACGGGATTTAACCAGAGCGTGGACTACCGTGGCCAAGTCAGACTTCCCAAGGTACGGGCTCAGCTGTATATATGGATGCTTCTGCACAATTTTCATATATAGATGTATTCCCAGTGCAAAAGGAAGACAGGAAAGTACCATCTATTGTGCCAGCTTAACCTTGACCAGACATGAAAATATTGAAAGGCCTTTCGAGTTTTATGCCTAAACATCTGATAATCAGAAGTTTTTCTAAACGCAAGTAGGGAATGCAGCCCAAGAAGGTTGTCTATTTTTACTCAGTCGGCATTCTGTTGTCCTGATTTCTCTGGCAATAATGAGGTCAGCAGAAACTGGCATGAAAGAAAGGTTGCCTCTGTTAAAATCAATCCTGTATTCTTGTATTGCATGCTCCTTTCGTGAGGCAGTTTTAGATCTGATTGCACATTATTTGTGTGAATTCAGTTTAATTCTAAATTTTAAGATCACAATAATCACAGCAAAAATGAGTACTGAAAAGAACACCCATATATAGTGCCATATTTAATGAAACAAGATAGAGTGGGAAAGTGTGTTCCCAATGTGAATTTTCTGGCCGAGATTTTAAGTAATATTTCTCCACAAGTCCATAGTATCAGGTTTTTGAGTAGTTTATCTCTTTTAGACTGCAATTTTCTTTGATTCTTGAGAACAATACTTCAGAGTTTGAAGTTAATGAACATTTCTAATGGTTTGATTTTGTCAATATAGGCAGTGCCCAAGTTACAAACATCTGACGTGCAAGCGACTCATAGTTAAGAACGAGGGTGAGACAACAGAAAGTGAGCAGAATCTACTTCTAGGAAGGGAAATTCACTTCTGAAAGAGTAATCATGGGGGGAAAGTATCTTAACTGAAGCTTTATCTCCAATCCTTGTTTCCACAAAAAGTCAAATCTTTCAAAATCCAATCATCACAGGGTTGACTGAAGGAGCTGGGGGTGGTGACGGCCAACAGAGAGCTCTGGTGCAGGCTGGTCCATGAGGTCACAAGCAGCTGAACAAATAAACAACAAAAATTATCACATGAATAGAAAATGGGGTGAAATCTTCTGAACGGGACACAGACAGAAAAAGAAACACCACAAGGGTGTTAACCCTTCCCTGCTCTATCTAAAGCTGATATATAGGGCTGGGCTAAGAACAAACATACAGAAGCTATCTGGTTCATAACTCGGAGACTGCTTGTAAGGCAAACCACATTTGTATCAATTTAAGCCAAGTTCCAATTATGAGGGTCTTGAATTCTGGTTTAAAGCATGAAGCAAAATTATACGATTCTTGCTCAGTACTGCTTCCATGAATATATGCCTGTTGTTGGAACAATTGCAAGGAAATTCTATACGTGTCTTCTCAGAAGTAAGTCACATTAAGTTCAATGAGGTTTACTTCCAGGTAAGTGAGTGTTGGATTGCAGCCTTCATGTCTCAGTACTATTGTATTACAAAAGCTCTCTTAATTTTTGGCTTATGAAAAATTCACTAGGGAGGCTCAGTTTGTCGCAGTGCCTTGCAGTATTCTGTGAATGTATCTTAGTAACTCTGAAACTGAAACCGAAAGACAATCTGGACTGATAACATAGTTGTCAAGAAGCACCATGGATTAAATTGTAGTTAATCAAGCCCTCCTTTTAGAATGTCACTGTAGCCCATAATAATTTATTTTTTTATTATTATTTCTTTGTTGACTTGCAGGGATAAGTATCTGCCTTAAAAATGTCAAAACAGCCAGCTTCAAATGTCAGGAGCATTCAGGTAAGACTCCATATGTATATACATTACATTAGCGCTAGTAAATATGAAGCCTTTGGTTTTGGGGGCAAATTTTATTTGGTGCTCTAATGCTACCCTTTTTTTAATTAACCGGTTTTGCAGGTAGTTGCCACTTAATTCAGGGTTAATCATGCATTTTGCATATAGTTATTTGTATTAAAATAATTAGATTTTCCCACAGTAAGCACATAAGGCAAATTGACAGACTTTCCCAAAATGTAGGCAGTAAGAATTAGGTACTGCTCCATGTTAGGAATACTCGATGCAGCTACACAGGCCACTAGGGGGGGAAACACACATCAGTTCACTGTTTTTCACTGCTGAGAAGAAGCAGGGTTTGTATGTGTTTCCTTCAAGCCACCTGTCTACTTAATGGCAACCCCATGAATTTCATAGGGTTATGTTAGGAATACTCAGGGTGCAGCTACACATGCCAAAAATGGTGATACTGATCTGGAGTGGGGTACTTTGGATCAGCGTCTCTATGGTCCATGAGGCTGGCCTCGGGGGTTGGATGCCAAACACACTACACATGTCTAAACAGGTCTGGAGGCTGGATGGTGTCGGCATTGCCCAAAGGTACCAGAACCAGTTTCATGCCACTGGACTGCCACCCTTAGCTTTCTTCCATCATTCTGGGCTTTGCAGTACCCACCAGGGATGAAAATGGCCCTGGTCACCACCTGACACATGCAATAACAATAGCCAGAGTGACAAAGTGACACAAGAGAGGAGAGCAGGGAAGTGAAGTAAACCTCTTTTGTGTATAGATTGCAGTAAAACAAAGATGTCACTTTTGTAAAAAAAAATGATACAAATAGCCAAAGCTTTTGCAGTATTTTATCCATTTAGTTTAGTAAAGGTAAAGGTTTCCCATGACATTAAATCTAGTTGTGCTTGACTCTGGGGGATGGTGTTAATCTCCATTTCTATAGACAACATAGACACCTCCAAAGTCATGTGGCCAGCATGACTGCATGGAGCGCCCTTCCTGCAGAAGTGCTACCTATCAATCTATACACATTTGCATGTTTTCTAACTGCTAGGTTGGCAGAAGATGGGACTAACAATGGGAGCTCACTATACTCCCTGGATTCGAACCACCAACCTTTCAGTCAGCGAGTTCAGCAGCTCAGGAGTTTAACCTACTGCACCACTAGGGGGCCCTCCATTTAGTTTACTTTGTATGATATGAGTCTCATTTTCATTTGGAAAAGTTAGCAACCTAAAATCTCTGCTACTAAGATCAGTTGGAGACATTGCTTAGAATGCCTTAGAATGCTTTGAAAAAATAATTGTACAGTTTAAGAAATGCAGTTCTACAATCCTTTCCTTATGAAAGAGGGGTGTTTTTTTTTTACTTCAGGAGGACTGTGTCTAAATTAATATGCATGGATCCATCAGCTATAATACTTTGCTATGTTGAGGAAAACCCCATCAATATCATCTCAAAATGTTTTATAAAATTGATGTAGGAGGTGTAAATGTCAGAGTATCTATAAATATGCAACAGTAAGTACCGTACAGTTTCTGTGCAATTTACAGAGTATGTTGGGACCTAATTTAAGCAATTCTGGTATAAATTAGGTGACAAACTCTACATTAAGGAACCTGTGTTTTATCACATATTTCCCTCTGACAACAGGCTTTCCTCAGAGCTACGTTCCTCATAATAATGCTTGCAGGTTAAGTTGGGTTTATCTTTCAATGACTAGCTATAAAACAAAGCCGCTATCTTTGCAAGATACTGGATGGAAGGAAAGCACGTTAGGACAAACAGCTTTCACCTCTTACGATAGCACTGCTGTGTAATATGGAAAAAACATATAGTCCGATTTCCTCCAAGTGGTATCTTCACAGAACCTGACATTCAAATACTCAGGGCTTCCACATGAATAGGACCTGATTGCAAAGATTAGACCCATAGTTACTGTTAATGAAAACCACATGCATCGCTACCATTGCAGAGCAGTTACAGAAATATATTCCGATGATTTATTGATATGAATATGATAATTTCCAGGCTAATATCAACATCCCAATGGGAGCACTTTTACCTGGAGCAGGTCAACCACCTAAAAGAAAAGAATTCGCCGAACCTGATGAGGTAAGAGCAATATCCATTTACATGAACAAAATACCTTCAGTTTTAGTCCTTGGCTGCTAGCAGGAATTTCATTTGCCTGCTAATGACGTGGTTGACAGTATAGAATCAATCCTTTCTCTTATAATGTTTGAGGCCAAAGAAAACCTATTTAAGCTTCACCTATTTAAGTATTGCAAACCACATTATGAATTGTGTGTCTTCTCCATTATACCAGGAACAAGGAAAATGTGGCTCTCCAAATGTGTCTGAACTGCAGTGCACATGATCCATCTCTTACTGATGGAAATTTCAGTCCAGCAACATCTAGAAAAACATATGTTCCCTATTGCTGCTCTAGGTGGCAGATATAATTTTCCAGGGTCTGTCTGATACAGCATTTCACATGTGTGTGAGAGGCTAGTAGTCAAGTAGACACATTACATAGCAGATCCCTAAAATTTAGGCAACTATATTCTAAAAGCAGCTCTGGGGAACTTCAGTCTGGAGCGGTATCATAGTGTCAGGCTGAAGAGGGAATGAGTTGGATATCTAACAATCCCTTTTGCTACTGACCCAGTCTAACTTGACACTTCTTCATGGAGTAGTAACATTTGGATGAATGCTTTTATGTCCTAGTAGCTGCAAAGCTCAGCTAAGATAATGAGTGCTTTACAATTTAAAGATCCGAGAAAATCATGGCTGCACAATGTCCACCACCTGCCTTACCACCACTTTAATTGAACAACATTTATATATATATATATATATATATATATATATATATATATATATATATATATTTGCCCATACCTTGTCTAGTGTTTATTAGTAGTAAGCTCAGCAATGGAAGAGAAATAAATAAACAATTTTTATTTATACCCCGCCACCATCTCCCCAAGGGGAAAGTGGAAGGCAAAAGGAAGAGGGGCCGACCAAGGGCAAGATGGATGGATGGCATCCTTGAAGTGACTGGACTGACCTTGAGGGAGCTGGGGGTGGTAACGGCCGACAGGGAGCTCTGGCGTGGGCTGGTCCATGAGGTCACGAAGAGTCGGAGACGACTGAACGAATGAACAACAACACCATCTCCCCAAGGGGACTCGCGGCGGCTAACATGAGGCCAAGCCCAGAATTACAGTACAACAAAATAAAATAAAATACAAACAGGAAATAATAACATCAAAATAAAATGCATCAAATAACAAAAAATGAAATAAACAGATGCAAAATAATGTGATGAAGAGATAAAATAAAAGCATGGTGGGTTTTTAAAGATGAGTCAGATAGGTCAGCTTGGCTGTTCTTTATCTCTCAGTGTTATTGTAAATTCAGATGTAGGGTATCTGTTCCAGTGAACTAGAACAGGGGTCCTCAAACTAAGGTCCGTGGGCCAGATGCGGCCCTCCAAGGTCATTTACCTGGCCCCTTCCCTAAACTTTGGATTTAGGTTTGCCCTAAGTCTGAAATTACTTGATGGCACACAACAACAATCCTAATTAACTTGACTATTTCATCATTCAAAAGAAGGCCCACACTTCCCATTGAAAGATGGGTAAGTTTATATTGGTGAAAATTGTTCTTCATTTAAAATATTGTTTTGTCTTTCATTTCTTTTGTTTTTTGTTTTTTGGGGGTTTTGGGGGTTACAGATAAGATATGTGCAGTGTGTATAGGAATCAGTTCATTTTTTCGCAAACTACAGTTCGCCCCCAAAAGTCTGAGGAACCGTGAACCAGCCCCCCCACTTAAAAAGTTTGGGGACCTCTGAACTAGAAGGTTCACAACAGTGAATGTCTTCCTCACAGAGCAATAACTTTGGTACCATATATAACTTCTTCAGGGATTTTTCCCCTTGGCCTTTGGAAACTGTACACTTTCAAGTGTGTGCGTTCACACTGTCCAGTCCTTTCAAAGGTGGCAGACAGGCTATTCCCCCATGTTTTAAAAAGAGAAGGGGTATCATATTACTGCTAGTGGAATGTAGCTTGCTAATATACTGAGAGTATGGCCTTAGAATAACATCAAAGAGTGGGGGAATGGTAGAGAAAGAATCCTTAAATCTACATTTTAGTCTTTAAAGGTTGTTTTATGAAACACACCAAACAGATGATGTAATCTAAGTACTTGGAGTACACATGTAGACTTTAGGAGGCTGAAATGTAGATAGATTGTCAGATATAGATGGAAACTGAGTAGAAGGGCAAGAAGTAAGGAAACTGTGTAGGAGGTGTGAACATTTCAGAAGAGAACACAGTCTGTTCATCTAGAGAACTGTTAATGTGAAGTAACCACCAGACAGCAAATTGACTATAAATTTCAAGGCAAATTCTAATTTCAGATGCATGGAAGTTAACTGAAAGGAAATGTGAAATATGCAGCTATGCTTCATGAACTTTTAGAATTAAGTAGCTGCTTTAAAAAGAACTTCTGGTGTAAAACCTTTCCAGATCATGGCGCAGCCATCACACGATCCCATCGTTCCACTTACCTAGTTACAAAATAGAACCATATTTCACTGAATAATTTTTTACTGAATCGTCTCTATGTAGTATTGCAGAATGACATTAGCTGTGCCTTTCCCCGCTTGATCCAATACAATAAACTCTTTGTATTATAAAATGGGAATTTTCAATTAAATGTAAAAAGACATTGGGAATTTGCATTACTTTTAATAAAAGGATTTGATCCTAGTTGTGATAGTAAACAATTATGCATTGATAACTTTAATATTCTATGAATCCTTATATATTGATTATCTCTTGCTCAAACCGATCTTTCAGTGCTTATTTATATAACACTAAATAATTATATGAAGGGACCAGTCTCCAAAATGTTATGAAATTTTATATATAGCATTCTCAAATAATGAAAGATGATATAGGATTCAGAACATCCTCCAGGAAGTCTTATTACACTCAGTATGGTGAAATAAGTAGTAAATAATGCCTCATTTCCCATTATTTACTACTTATTACACAATACTGAGTGCAAGTATTGTGTAATAAGTAGGATAAGTATTTCCACCAGAATGTTTTTGTAGGCTTTAAAAGTATAGCCAGGAAGCTAATCACCTCATGTCAGCATGCCTACTTCAACATGTGCATTTGTTCCATTCTTAAGTCTAAGTAGTCCAATTCAAAGTACAGCAATATAAACCTAAACACATCCAATTAATTGGCTTTATAAAAGTGTTGACTTGCCATTCAACAATTGATTTGGTGGTTCTAAATCTAATTGGATACAAGCAAAGTAAAAACAAATTTCCAAGATAATGATCTGTTCTCAGAGGGGAGCAATCTCAAAATCAAGTGTAAAATAGTCAGTTAATTGAACTCATTAATACTGACCACATAACAAAGTATTAAACATTTCTGGCACATTTTTCTCATTTGTGTGAACTTCTAAATGAAGATACTCTAAAATTTGAATGGTATAAGCAGTGGACAGCAAACAAGGCACAACCTCTGAGGATGCTTGCCATAGATGCAGGCGAAACGTCAGGAGGGAATGCTTCTAGAACATGGTCATATAGCCCGAAAAACCTATAACAACCCAAGGCAGCTCATTATTTTAACTTGCAGTGTGGTAAGTTAATTTGGTTTTTAAAAGCAGTTGAAGACTAAATCAGTATTCTTTAAGACCTAAAGGAGCTGTTTTTCTATTCTGTAGTGCCCTTGTATTAGATAATGTCATCTGTCTAAACTCACCCTCATGTCCCTAGTCAAGTCTGTCATCCAGTGTGTTATTTTAAGTGGGCTATTTTTTATGTAGAGTCTTCCACCCTCATCAGAAGCGGAAAAGAAGAAGACTCTCCCAGGTGCCAAGAAGCTACCAGGCCCTGCTGTTAACCTATCAGAGATCCAGAATGTAAAGAGTGAGCTAAAATTTGTCCCAAGAGCTGAGCAGTAGCGTAAGTACCGAATGTTACTCAAGTATTGCACCAAAAATTGCATGCACACATGTGTTTCCCTTTGAAGATAGTACAAAACAGAAATGCAAGGTCACCAACTCAAGCTGGGTGCTGTAAGCAATTTACAACACTATCCAGTGACCTTCATTGGCTCCCATTTCTAGGCCCACTTTAAATTGCTGGTTTTAACATTTAAATTTCTTTGTCATTTGAGATCACCAGGGTAGCTGAAGAATTATCTATTATGTAACCATTGAGACTTCAAGCTCCAATCCAGAGTTCTTTTTCTGAATGCCACCATCAAATCTTACTGAAGAGACTCCCTGCTGACCAGGATTTAAATGCATGTCTGCTTATATTCTGGTTTTTTTTCATCCTTTAATACAATCTCTGTCACATTGGCCTAAAATGCAATGGTTTTAGCAAGCTTTGGGTTCTCATATTCCCCAAACCATGGCACTTAGTGTGGAATCATAATTACCCACTGCAACCATCTCCGCATTGCTGAATTCAGAGGCAGCATACCACAACTGGGGCTCCCCGAAAGTGCCCATTCTGATATCTCTGAACCTATCAAGGATGAGATAAAATTATAAGTGTTTTTTTCTGGAATAAATAAATATATGCTCCCAACTATAGCTGCAATTTTTCTACACTCAAAGTTGTCCACTTAGGAAATACCTCCATCCACTACATTGAGCTTTATTATCTCTTTTGGGATTTTCGCTGACACTAAAAGTTCTTGTTTACCCATCATCTGATTGACACAGAACATGAACAAGGAAAAGTATAACTCTTACATCTTAATTTATATCATTTCAACACCAATCACCATATAAGCTCTTTGTCTTACACTCACTTCAGTGTTTTTTCCCTGTCTTACAAATTGCCTTCCTCCCTTCCTTTTATTAATAAACATTCATTTTTGGAGAAGCTCTGATCTCATTTTTGTCATTAACTTCTGCCTCCCTTGCAAGGGCTCATTGCTACCTAGGCATAAGGTTATACTTGCTATGCTCCTGTATATTTTTGAAAATGTGCTGTTTCTAAGCCAGTTCTACCAGGGAAGTAAAGAGAAACAAAAAGAAGTGTGACTAGGACTTACGTCTCGGCGTTAGTGTTTAAGAAGAACTTGTTCCCTAAACAGTTGGTTCTCCACATTTGCAGGTTTAGCGTTTGTGGATTTGATTAATCTGTTTTCTCTAGGAATCTCCAGGTCTTCCAATACCACTCTATGGTCAACTTCTGCTTCAGGGTAACTTCATGGGAACTTCTGATGGAAGGTTATCATAACATTGGCCTGGAGGACCAAAAGATTATTAGGGAGATGTTCTCTAAGATAAAAAAATGGTGGGTTTGTGTGTGTGTTTTTTTCACTTTCACAGAGGCGCTGTGCTCCTATCCCCTACACAAGTGTACTACTTCCTATTGTAGTTTGCAGATGTGTATACAGACATATATCTTGAGAAAGTATAGATAGTACAACATCATAACAAAAAAGTAAAACAGTAAATGGAAGAATGTTCTTAGATCCCTTTGTAATCTTGAACAGGCGGTTTCTCATCTTAGATATGGTCATACCTTTGATATAGAAGACTTTTCCCATAAAAAGAAATGTCAATCTTTGGCATAATTATCTGCAATTAACATCTTATTAAGATTTGGATTTTGCCAATTTTACACTGTCTTAAAATTGCTGGCAAAAATTCTTTAAACTGGACCTTCATAACTATTTTACATGTACAGTGTACTCAGACCAAGAATGCCACACACCGAATAATAATTATGCAGGTCTTCTTTGTACAAAATCGCTCTTCTTTCAGGCCACTTTAGCTCTCAAAGTATATGAATCACTAAACACGAATGTTGACGCTTGTTGAAAATTGAATTGGCATCCAGAGAATAAAGAATAGAGAGAATAGAACTGGCTGTGAGTCATCTCAGACTAACTTCAACTTCAAACACGTTTGCAAAGCAATGATTTTGTGTTCCATTTTTATTCTGTAAACAAGGGAGAATTCAAACTTCATCATTAGAGAAGAAATATCATTTTAAAATATTCAAAAAGTTGTTTACAGAGAGATATATAAACAATAGCTTCATTCACTCAGTTATTTTATATTATTCAAATTATGATGTATTCAAAGAGACCAAATGACTTACTTCATTCAGGCATTGTAATTATGCTTTTTGAGAGCATTATCATTCTAGTGATAAGGGTTCAAATTCCTGTTTGTCAGTGGAAATCTACTGGGTTACCTTGGGTTAGTCAGCCTCAAAGGAAGGCAAAGGCAATTTTATTCTGAACACATCTTGTCACGGAAATTCTGCGATAGGTTCACCTTAGGGTTGCTATAAGTTCCAAAAGGTTTGAAGGCACACAACGACAAATAACAACAATAATGCTTTTAAAATCATAAGAGAAGCCTCCCACAAGGATGATAAAAACATCAAATCATCCAGGCGTCCCCTGGGCAACGTCCTTGCAGACGGCCAATTCTCTCACATCAGGAGTCACTCCTGACACGACAAAAAAAAAACTTCATTATTTGTTGCTGTAGTTCTCACTTAAAACAAAATAACCCCAAATAATATTGTTTCATCAATGTCAACATTTTATTCCCACCTAGAGGATTTAGCTCTTTTTTTCCTCAACCCGAAGTCCTTGAGTCGCCTTTGGGCTGAGAAAGGCGGGATAGAAATACCATAAATAAATAAATTAAAAATTTAAAAATATCGTAGGGCAGGGGTGTCAAATTAATTTTCACTGAGGGCCACATCAGTCTTATGGTTGCCTTCAAAGGGCCACTTGTGACTACAAGACTATAAATGTAAGTATGTTTCCAGATTCGGCCTGCGGGCATTGCATTTGCCATGTGCATACTAGGGTATATTAAATTTAAATAAATACTCAAATAAATTATATTGTTTAATATTTGCAGTTCATGCTGAACTCCTTTACTCTTCTTCTTCTTCACTGGATGAAGAACCGCATTTCTGAGTACGAACCCACACGACCTCTTTGATCATCTGGAGAGGCCCTACTCGCGCTCCCACCTCCATCACATTGGTGGGGACAAGGGAGAGGGCCTTCTCGGTGGTGGCCCCTTGACTCTGGAATTCACTTCCCAAGGACATCAGGCATGCCCTAACTCTGGCAGTCTTCAGGAGGAGCCTAAAAATGTGGTTGTTCCAGTGTGCCTTCCCAGAATAAGGAAACTCTCAGCAATATGTCCTCTAAATGCACTTTACTACTGATTTAGGATTGCCTGCATGCCCCCATCCCTCTCTGAAAACTCTATCCCAGTTATATCTTACCTGTTCATGCCCAGCATTATTTTTAAAATTTTAATTATTACATTTGGCCCAGCCATAGGTTCTTAATGTTTATTGAGTTTTATTTTAACTGTTTTGTATTGTTTGTTTGTTATTGCTTTTATTATGGATGTATTGTGGGCTCAGCCTAATGTAAGCCACACCAAGTCCCTTGGGGAGATGGTAGCGAGGTATAAATAAAGATTATTATTATTATTATTATTATTATTATTATGAAAGGGAGTTCCTAACATGGTTTGGTCAAACTGCCACTACAGCTTCCTTCATCTTCCCTTGTTCCTATCCACGTTCTCCTAATCCCTGAATGCGAGACAACCACAGTAAGAAATAAAGCATGGAATAATTTGCTACCTTTTCATGATAGTCAAAAGTAGCTGTTGGACATTACTAATTTATACTATCTAAAGATAGATGTAAAATTACCACTAGCACAAAAGTCACAACAACAAAGAAAAGAAAAAAAGGAAAACAAAACAACTCTGTAGCATAAACCAATGGGAACTCAACAAAATGGACAAATTCTCATAACTGCCTCTTAGCTTGTCCCTCACAAACCATCTTTTCATATTCTCAAAATGAGCCCTGGGCCCTGTCATGTTCTGATGATGTTTCATAAAATCTATGACACCAAAATATTAACTTTATATTCTCCCTCCCCAATTCATGGGTGTGCCTATCTATAGGCACAGTTGGGTTTCTATAGGCATCTGCACCGGTCTCTATCATATTTCCTCTTTTCAAAGCCTAAAATGGCCATTCTATATGTGTTTGTTTGCTATAGGATGTTCAACCTGTGCTACTAGCTCTTTCAGCCATTGCCTGTGATCTGGTAAACATGGATGATCTGGTAAACATGATCATGTAAACATGGATGGGAAAGCTACAGCCACATCATACTGAAATTCTGACTGTGTGTGTGTACAACCACTTGTGTGTTGTTGTTTTTCTGTAAGAGACATGCAGCAATAATTCTTGTGCACAATGGTGCTTGATCCATAAGTATCACTTAATTCCTATATAGAACACCAAAGAGTCATAGAACCTGTAGCAATTGTAAAATTGGCAACCATTGTGAAATTGGGTTTTCGTAGTTATTTTTAAATGTCTTTTCTTACTTTCACAAACAAGTGAGCATGAAGGGTTTTACCCGCAGCTCACTGAACCAGCCTCTCACACTCCCATTTTTTTTTCTCCCTGCCCTTCTCTTTTTCTGGAAAATGTCCATTTCTTTGTACATAAACAGGACAGTCCAGCTCTGCCCGCCCCACGCTGCTTTCATAGAAAGGTTCATTCAAGGTGCTGTGGCAAAGCAGAACCTCAGTACATCTTCCTGCCAACTCGCCACAGAATCATACTCAATTGATGTAAAGGCTCCTATTGCTTCCATTAAAGGATCAACCTTTTTATTTCTTTGTAAGATTTTCATAGAAGCAAAAGTACAATGTACAGGAAATTTCAAGGAAAACCTAATTAAGAGATCTCTGACTGAGAATATTATATGGTGTTACTAACTCTCTGTACAGCTGGTATTGTGTGATCAGCTTTGTGTCGTAGAATTGTGTTCAAGGTATCAACAAGCACAACCAAGGAATGGTAATGATAAATAATGCAGACAATTAACCTTAGAAATTGCACACACTTTTCAGCACAGGGAGTCTTCTAAA